CAGATCCACAGTATCCGTAGTCCTAACAATAAACAATGGGATGGATTTTCCGTTCAAAATAGCAAATCTTCTACAGTTATCGCACGACCGCTTGGGTAAAGAGTACCTTAGCTTGTATATCGAATGTGAGAAAGATGTGCATGACCTGAGATTCGCGGAAAGCTTAACTTCGGCTGCAGCTAGGGTTAGATCTGGTGCCAAGCACACCTTTTCGGCGCTTCTCCAGCTTGCTGGTGTTTTGGCCGTAAGGCAACTCGCTTCAACTTCTTATATAGTTATGGAACCGCCAATAATTTCACGCAATCTGCCATTCGCATTGCCATTAGGGTAAGGCAATGTACAGGTAACATGTTGCTTACTTACTTATGCTTACGCCCCTTTCGAACGTGGAAGAATGCGTTAGAATGGGCCAAATAGTAGAAACTCTTATCATTTGTTACGAATTTCTTTTAGGCCGAGGTACTCCACCACCCACACGCGAAAAAGTTCAATGATGGAATCGAAGAGATGTCAGTTTCGATCTCAACTCAGCTTAGGCGATACGCTGATTTTACAGTAATTCTGCGAAGCAAACTTTCAACAAGTTTTTATAGCAATGATCAGGTCGCCATGCAATCTCCAAGGGCTAGCGCTTCAAAAAGTCCTGAAAATTGTCGTATCTCTGATCACCAATCTTTTATGAAAATAGAAGGGGAATTATGATCGTTTTCTGTGCTTATATAGTATGAAAATATTGAGTACTAGCTGGCGAACCAGGCTCTGTCTGGCAATGTCAATAATATTTTCGTAATCAGCATGCTCACTTATTCCTCCCCCCCCCTCCCTAGACCAACCCCATCCTCGTAGTTGAAGCTTGCAAAAAATCGATAAAATCGATGTAGATCAATGATGAAAAGTAGCTTACACCCGCCCGACCCAATTGTATGTGTGCCAAGTTTGATCTGGATCGGTTCAGAAATAAAATTTTCTCGGAACATACATACGGACATACAGATAAGTTTTACAGTACTTTTGCGTATAATAAAAATAGAAAAGTACTCAAAACTTGTTTGGAAATAAACAAAAAGAGGACGTAGCTTGGAAATTTCCAAAGCGTTTGTTACACTCATCTTCTTCATATGATGTGATGCATATATGGAACACTCGCTCCTTTGCCTTCGATCATCTGGATTAAACTTGAATATGCGCGCCATTTTGAGTAACAAAGATTTCAAAACGGAAACATCGACTGCTTTGAGCAACTTTATTGGTGAACCTTCTTCAAAAAAAACGCGATGCACCATCTGGACCAATTTCCAGGTACTGATTGTTTCGAGTGTTGGGACAACAAATCTCCATATATCACTTAAACATCCAAATAACAAGCAAATTGAGTTGGAAGATGAGAAGACGATGGAAAAGCTCCACAAATTGTACACTTTGATTTATGCTTCCTTGAGCTTATCAATTTTAAGGTTTTCCCCTGTGAGGCAATAATGCAACATGAGGATTAATCTCTCGTTCGCCTTCGTTTTGCTATTCTCGGTGATGACATGAATATGCACATAATCTCATTGCAAGTGCTTTTTGCAAGGTGAACTGCATTTATAAATGCTGCTCTGTCCTGAGCTTGTCATTCTCAAACCGCAGCAGTGCTTTTATCATTTAAAATCTAATCATTCAGTTGCTTTCAACATTTCAAAACCTAATCATTCATTGATTGTTCAGAAAAACTTTAGCTTTTCATGGCATCGAGTCTTCAGAAAGCGGACATGTCGTATTGCATCGAAATGAATTATGTCAACTTTTTGTGCATCAAAGTTCAGAGAATATGTGCCCCTGAGAATATTCTCACACTGAACTCTCGAAAGTAATAGGTTGGCTAATGAGTTAGTTCGGTTGTTTTGGGCCAACAAATGCTGCAGACGACACTTTTGTCTTCTGGATAAATCACCTTATTGAGAATTGAAATGTTAATACTTTCTGAATATAGTCTATTTCCCTATGAAAAAGCATAAGGAAGTGAGAAACTCCAACCTTTCATTGTGCGCAAATGTAAGAGAATTTCGCTTTGACAGTTTCAAGGCAGATTACAAATTTCATTGCCAATCGCTGAATAGTGAAAACCTGATTGTATCCAAATCGGTCCTTTACTGATATAGAAATTTCTAAGCAGTCAAAGTGTGAGCAAAATTTGAAATACTTCTTCTCAAAAAAATTTATAGATAACAAGGAACGAGAAAATTTCTATGTAGGTTGAAAATACGAAATCAATTTTTTGCTTACCTAGTATTTACCACGAGACCTAAATTCCTTCATTGTCTCTAATTCGGGCTATTCGTCTATGCAAAGAAAAATCACTTGCGTATACTTCTATATTTCAGATTTGCTATGGCTCCAATGGCTCAAATTCCCGATGGCCCCGTCTCGGAGGGCACCTATGGATTCGTTTACGGAGTGTCAGGACCTGTGGTGACAGCTGAAAAGATGGCAGGATCGGCGATGTACGAGCTGGTCCGTGTCGGTCACTCCGAACTGGTAGGCGAGATCATTCGTTTGGAAGGCGATTTTGCAACGATTCAAGTTTACGAAGAGACTTCATCCGTTACGATTGGCGATCCCGTACTTCGAACCGGAAAACCACTGTCCGTCGAACTCGGCCCTGGAATTATGGGTGCGATTTTCGACGGAATTCAACGTCCTTTGAAAGAAATTGCCGATATGACAAAGTCAATTTACATTCCGAAAGGAGTGTCAACTCGAGCGTTGTCTCGTGATAATCGATGGGACTACACCGCAAACAAGGAAATTACTGTCGGATCCCATGTGACTGGAGGAGATGTGATCGGATCTGTACAAGAAAATTTACTAATTAAGCACAAGATAATGATCCCTCCAAACTCCTGCGGTACCGTTACTTACGTCGCCCCGTCTGGTCAATATACTATCGAAGATGTGCTGCTTGAACTGGAGTTCGAAGGTAACAAAGAAAAACTCACGATGCTTCAGATCTGGCCCGTACGAAAGCCCCGTCCATGTGCTGAGAAACTTGCTGCCAACTTCCCGCTGCTGTGTGGACAAAGAGTGTTGGATGCACTTTTCCCATGTGTACAAGGAGGAACCACGGCAATTCCCGGCGCCTTCGGCTGTGGAAAGACTGTGATCTCCCAATCCCTGTCCAAATTCTCCAACTCCGATGCCATTATCTACGTCGGATGCGGTGAGCGTGGAAATGAAATGTCTGAGGTATTGCGAGACTTCCCTGAGCTGACCATGGAAGTAGAGGGAGTGACAACTTCAATTATGAAACGAACAGCACTGGTAGCAAACACTTCCAATATGCCTGTAGCCGCTCGAGAAGCTTCCATTTACACAGGAATCACTTTAGCCGAATACTTCCGCGATATGGGGCTACACGTTGCTATGATGGCTGACTCAACGTCCCGTTGGGCAGAAGCACTTCGTGAGATTTCTGGTCGACTGGGTGAAATGCCTGCCGATTCAGGGTACCCGGCTTACTTGGCTGCTCGATTGGCTTCCTTCTATGAACGTGCTGGCAAGGTGAAATGCCTTGGAAGTCCCGAACGTGAAGGATCGGTCACAATTGTCGGGGCTGTGTCACCTCCTGGTGGTGACTTCGCAGACCCGGTTACTTCCGCTACCCTAGGTATCGTGCAGGTGTTCTGGGGTTTGGATAAGAAGTTGGCTCAACGAAAGCATTTCCCTTCAATCAACTGGTTGATCTCCTACAGCAAGTATATGCGAGCTTTGGAAGAGTACTACGAGAAGACATTCCCTGAATTCGTGGCACTGCGAACAAAGTGTAAGGAGATTTTGCAAGAAGAAGAAGATCTTTCAGAAATTGTGCAGCTGGTCGGCAAAGCGTCCCTTGCAGAAAGCGACAAGATCACTCTGGAAGTGGCCAAACTCATTAAAGATGATTTCCTGCAGCAGAATGGTTATACTCCATACGATCGCTTCTGTCCATTCTACAAAACTGTTGGAATGCTCAAAAATATGATTGCTTTTTACGATTTGGCTCGACATGCTGTAGAAACTACTGCCCAAACAGACAACAAAGTCACCTGGGCGGTAATCAGAGATCACTTAGGCGACCTCATGTATCAACTATCGTCCATGAAATTCAAGGATCCGGTAAAGGACGGTGAAGAAAAAATCAAAAAGGATTACGATGAACTTCTTGAAGCTCTAAATACAGGATTCAGAAACCTTGAGCTTGACTAGTTATTTCTGTACTCATTTCTCATGCAGCATTCTTAGTTCTTTAGAGGTTAGGGTTCCTGCTAGAAGTTTCTGCGGCCTTCTGTGGCCCTAGATATAAAATGGTTGCGTGAGATTGAAAGATGTAGGTTACAACAAAAACTTTCTGTTTTTCATCATGTTCCCGTCGAATCAATCAGTTTTAAGGACGGTTTGTTTTATCGGGTTGTTGTGCATTGCTAGATCCTCTTT